GCGCTGAGGTCAGGCCGTGCAGCTCGCAGAGCGGCTTCGCTGGGATGAGAAGGAAACGTCCCAGTTACATGTTTCCTCTGGAAACTGCCCTCGGGTAGCCTCTCGCCTCCAGCTGGGCGGCCGCTTGGTCATGTTGGCTTTGTTTCAAGGAAATGATCTGCAGCTTTTGGAGGGTTTACCTGGCTTGGGGTGGCCTGGCCAGTCCCGGCTGGTAAGAGTCTATGAGGTCCCAGCTTGCTTTCTCATCTGCAGGGATCTTCATAACTCGGCATCTTCCTGAGACTGCTGGCTTGTAACAGGCTGCACTTGCTGCTTGCCCCTGAATTTGTCAGCTCTGTAGGCCCTAAAAAAGTGATTTTTAGCTGATGAAAGTGCTTTTTCCTGTGTCACTTCTGTCTTTCCTCTCCCTCCTGTCCTTCAGTTCAGGATTCAAAAACTGCAGATGCTCTAAACTAAGCATGACTCACACCTCCTAGTTTATTTTGTGAATTATCCAGCACATGATGCTGACGAGAAAATGTTGGGAGTGGAGGGGGTGGGGAGCAAGAGGTGGTTTTTACGACCCAAAAGGAAATACTTGGAGCAGGCATGTGTGGTCCCTGGGTCACTGAACTGGCCAATGTCCCCGAGCACAGCATACGGGCCATGTGAACCAAGGGGGCCCTTGGGCCCTTCGGCGAGTGTCAAAACGTGGCCTAAGACTTCAGACAGAAGTGTGGGGGGGTTGCTGTAAGTCTTGCTTGAGAAGCCACTGCGGTTTGACCTCTTGCAGAGACAGTGCACGTTCACACCACCCATTCCTGGGTGTTACCTACCTCTTTGTCTCACACCTAAGTATCGCTAGGAACATCTAAGGCTGCCTTTGCTCCTCTGCTGTGGTTACCTCACTCTCTTTGAAGCAGTTTGGTGTTAGAAGTGCTGAGCTATGGCGCTGAGGTAATGCTGGAGAAAGCTAGTGAGGCAGGTGGCAGAATATAAGAAGGAAAAGGTTATTTAGTGAAATTTTGCCAAGTTGTTGTACCTAGAGACATTCTTATCTTGGCCATAAAGGCAGGGCTTGCAACCATGCTTGCAAGATCCTCAGATGCATTGATGCTTAGAAAAGCATTTTTGGGGTGAACTCCTACCAGTGGAGAAGACCATGTGCTTGGAGCTTGCAGACAGGCTCTTCAGGATCCCTCAAGCAAGAGAGCTCCATCTTTCATGCTGCTGCATGGATTTTGCAGCCCACTGCTGCAAAGGATGATGCTTCCAGCCAGGCTTGTGTCCTTATCCTCCCTTGCTGGCACCTCCGCTGGCTGTGGCAGTGGCTGGGATTCCTGGGCTGGCATTTCTTTCACTGCCAGAAGCAGGCCTGCTCCCTGCTGTGCCAAGGCAGATTGGCTTAATCAGACTATGGTAAACCTGTTGTTAACGTTTCATGCTTCACTGGACTTGCCAATTGCAGTTGCTGTGATTGCACCCCTGCTGCTTGTTTGACTGTCTGATGGCTCACAGCCAGGGCTCGGAGATGGGAAGTCAAGTTAATTTGCAGCACTGAAGAGAACATTAATCTTACATCTCATTTTTTAGGCATATAGTTAGGGAACAAGGAAATGGATTTATTTCCCCCTATTTAAGGGGGGGAAGTCTCTTGGAGAGGAAGAATTGTGAGTCTTTCTGTTGTTGGAGCCATCCTATTTCTCAGCACAAACCCAATGGATGTAATACCTTGTAATGAGTGTGCTGGGGCCACAGGGGATGAGGACTAGTGCCGATGAAGCTTCATTTCAGATGGCGCCTGGCTGGTCCACCTCTCAAGTTATTGTAGTTGCATCGTTGGCTTAATCAGACATGCATGTCTTTGGAGGGCTGGGTTTCCTTGGCCTCACTTGCAGCTGTGGTCATGCCTGACTCAGTGCCGTGGGTGCTGGTCTAGTCTTGAGGGAGCGCTCTGGACTTGCCATTGCCCCCAGACTTGCTAGGGAGTTGCAAGTGTACCCATCTCTTGCCACCTGGCTGGCTGACAAGTCCTTGTGTTTGTAATGGGATGTTCTCATCTTCCTTTGCACATTGTTCTCGGGCTGACTTGGGAATAACATGCTCAGATGAGTTAGAGGCAGCCAGCCCAGCCAAGTTTCTCACAGTGACGAAAGGTCTTCTTACGCTGTCTGCCTTGCCAGCAACTTCAGCAGCAGAAAGGAAGGGCTATGTGCTCAAGCTGTCTGTTCGTGGGTTTGTAAGAGCGGCTTAATGGAGTGTGTACGCAGCCAAGTGGCTTCTTCAGCAGTGCAGGGATGAACCCAAACGTGAGCAAACCCAAGGCTTGCTGCTGCCCTGCTAGCCTCCTCTGTGAGATGGGGGCACCATGGAGCCCAGACACTTGGGAGCTTCCAGTGTGCACATCACGAGTAGCCATCCTTCTCTCTGTGCTGCATCTTGATGGAATAAACAATGCCGTTTTAAGACACAGCCCTTGTATTCACATCTAGGCCTTTCAACTTGGTGGCTCATCCCAGGGTGTTGTCCCCACTTGCTTTGTCCCTGTTTAACTTTGGACACCCATGAACTAGTTCCAGTAGACTTCTGGAGGAGCAGCTAGAAGAAGCAGGCCCACCTATACAACACTCGGCCTTTTTCTTTAAGGACTCCATGCTTCCTTTAGGAAGCGTTTTAGTGGCCCATCAATGAAGAAGGGTTAAACAATCACTGCTACATTGTAGGAACGAAGCTCAGCAGAGGAGATGAGACCTTTTTGGGGCTGCTGCAAGACTGTCAAGAGCAGAGCAGCAGTGTTCTACTACAGTCCTCCCACTTTCTCGCCTGTACGCCAAGCCTGTTTCTGTCAACATGTTTCTTCCCAAACAAATAGAGAAGTGTGTCTGGGTGTGGGTAGAATGGAGTAAGAAAATCTGAAGTCCTCCTCTGCACATGTGCTTCTCTGGGCAGGATGGAGCAAAGGTCTGCCAGCACCAGCAGCACCGTGACCGACAAGGCAGAGCTCAGATACCACAGGGATCAGAGCAGTGTATGAGCCTGTGCAGAAAGGAGCTGGGGAGGCTGGGCTGCAGTTTCATAAGCATTTCTTACAGCAGCATTCTTCATGTGAAAAATAAGCAGCTCTGAAATGCTCGTCCTTGCTCCTGTGCTGCCTGCCTTGTCCTGCTAGTACAGCTGCCCGGGCAGCTGTGCCGCGGACTTGCTCAGGGATCTATTGCAGTTAAAA